TTGTGAAGGGTAAATTATTCCAGTGCCATTGGATGTCATTGTTAAAAAGCAATAACAAATTCTTAAAATCTGTTCTATGAGTCTACAAGAACATCATCTATCTTGGCTAGTTTAAAGATAGTGTCTACTTCGAGTAATGCAAATCTTGCCTATACTGGTACTTATACCGATATATCTTGTCTCGATTGCAGAAAAAGCATTGGCGACAATAAAAACAAAGAAGCGAAACATTAGCACAGGTATTCAAGTTGAATTGTGGGGTGAAACACCTACTGAGCGATGGAATATCCTTCTCAGATCTCAAGTATAGGTTAGTCTGCTTTGCCACTAAAACTACATCACAGGCTTACAATATACAAAGTACTATGCCTTAAATGATCTGGAATCCTTCAAGCACCATGGAACTTGAGCCTTCGAATGATGAAAGGTCCCATTGTCCAAAGGAATCTGTAAGAGCGACGCCATTCCGTGACTGATATAGGCCAGGAAAGAGCAAAGTAAACCTCACGACAAAAGAGAAGAAGTGAGGGGAAGTTGTACCCATTTGAGATATTGCAGCTGCGTTAGGTACGAGACTACTACTTCAAAAAGTCGGCGTAAAATTCTTTAATGTCCTCTCACCGTCGAAAGATATTTTTCGAATGTGCTAGTTTTGCGAAATGAGTAAAGTCCATGTTATAATGAGGGCCTAACATGCATGCAACCATGCAACCATGCAGCCCCATCCTCACCGTCAGTTCCATCACAGTGTATTAATATCTGCCGTACCAAGAGGACCCACATAGATATCATCATCAATCATGGATAGTCATGTTAGAGATACTATATCACGGGATTCACTGGGACTGTCTCAAAGAGCACGGCTGGACCAATTTAGTCGCATTATGTATGCTGAAACTGGTGTGTTACAGGATGTTGTACAGTGCATTATGATCCTTGCCCTGAGGCTCACCGAGATACAAACCTTTGAGCATTGGCCAAAGCCTCGAATTCTGGAAGGGGCCTGCCATGACACTTTCCATAACGAACTTAATACGATTCAGGCACTCCTTATAGTCATATCGGCCGGTACTAATATGTCTTTATGTGGTGGTACTAATTCATGTCATGGCAGCTGTAGTACAACAGATTCAAGATTGAGTCGTATCTAATAAGAAGGAAGCTTTATTATCACTCAGTTGCGTCTATACAGTTTTCATCGGTTCTATATTGCTAATTACAAAAGATGCACTACACCTGGGATATCTAAGAACAAAATAAGGAGAATTGTGACAAAGGAAAGACATAACTCAATGACATAATTAAGTTGAAGCCATCATCTCCTAGCTTTCATGAGGGGATTCTATCAGATCGTACCTCTTCTCATACTGTGTTATGCTCCTTCGCAGATCCGCAGCCATGACAAAATTTGGTATTGCGAATGTCTGGTCATTGTTAGGCTCACACCGACCATTACCTGGCCCTGTCTTTGGATGTACTTCTTCGTCGGCTTGATCAATTCGCTCAAACAGGGGTGACCGACTTCGTGGAGTGTAAGACCGGAGTGAGTTGGTCGATCTCATCCTATGTAACGCTTTCATAGAGATGGTCTGTCCAGCCGCCGGAGATGCGATAACGGTGGTCCCAGGCATGGGTGTAGGCGGGGGAGTTGGACTGTTAGAGCGAAAAAGTGGATGAATATTACTCTCATCGGACAGTGTTAGTTTTGGGTGGTCACCCTTGATAGGAGCCTCTGGCTGAAGTGATCTTGAAGTATCCCATGACCTCCTTAATGAATATTGCCGTCGCAAAGTATCCAACGAGCACCTATTCCCCTGTGTCTTGCGTGACCTAGAGTCACCATCAGCCCCCACAGTGCAATCGTTATGTTCGTAGGGGCAGCCATCGAACGTATTGCGCATTACAACGCACTCAGGATAGCGACCGGTGGATTGAGGTCAACAGAACCGTGCTTGGAATCCTGTTGGTATAGTGTTCGGCCTGAGTAGCGCTTCGAGATTAAAGACGCAGCACTTGATGTAGATTGTTGGATCGCGATCAAACCATCACAGCTCCGCTTTTGATCTGTCGATTGCTTCGGGGAGTCAACTACAAGTTGCGGCTGCTTTGTTGACTCCAATCTGTTGTTTACAGCTAACTGTTCGTGGAGGGCATCAAGGTCATGAGGTAGCGAGGTTGACCATCTGCTGCGGCTGGTCCGTTTTGCTAGTGTCATTAGGAGAAGCCCACCAAAGAGACCCTCAGTTAGAACAGAAATTGCCCATATGACAGTACGAGTCACCAACAATAGTCGCTGTCTTGGACCTAGTGACATTATCTGTTGTTCTATCATGATCTGTGCGTTGCTCCATGCTATACCTCCAGCAGTCACCCCTGTAGTCATAACCAAGTAGATAATCAGGATACAATATGCGCGGCTTCGGTACACGCTCAATTGCCTTGAATTCTCATTGTTGCTGTCTGCCAGCCAAAATAAGATCGTAGCGGCAAGCACAGCACAATTCACTGCGCCCAGGGCGGTAACGGCAGATTCGATTGAGCGAATATTAGACGAGAGGTTTTTGAAGGATGTCAAGCATAAACCGTCGAGAAGGGTGACCACGGAGGTTAACGCCAAGGAGACTCCCCCTAGTACGCAAGGCAGAGAAGGTCGAGACACATTGAAATTCATAGCGATGGTAGAAAAAAAGCAGGCGTATGCGTTCGCCGAGGAATAAACCCGATGGTGCACCAAGCCCAGAGGATCCAATGAATAGTGGTGTCGTATTCAAGTGCACATAGGTTCACGGTAGTGTACTTGAAGAACGGAATAGCTTAAGATGGTATCAAAATTATAGGTGAGGACAGTATATGACAAAGAGGGCCAGGGTACCATCAAGAATTAGAAAATCTTCTTGAAGTAATCATATCAATACCCTTGAGATGTAAAACAGGAGTATAATCGAAGCATAGAATATGGGCAGGTCGCAGATGCGTATTAGATTGAACCGTGACCAGAATACCATGGAAGTAAGATATATACCCGAGCGAGAATTTATATCCAAGAGTAGCGGGAGAGCCTGAAGTCTATCTATTAAAATTAGGTAGAGAGCAGCGGGGGGAAGAAGTTCCCCGTAGGTGATTGCATTGGGACGCATACAATAGTCCGAATGGATATCGCATATGCAAAGACTAGGGCTAAAGTGACAGGGGTAGATCTCAGTGCCACCTAGTTGGGACTCTTAGATCGCGCTATCTTTCGTTATAAGGTTTCGATGGTAGTGATAGCTCCTATTTTAAGTGAGAAATGAAACAAGAAAAAAAATAAAAAAGAGAGAGAGAGAGAGAGAGGAGGGAGGGAGGAG